CGCAAGCTTTCAAATGTTTTAATCAGGTTACCTTTTCCCTCATACGTGCACTCCAAGGGTCACTGCGGCTTGGGCGTTGGTCCAAAGTAGGAGCAACTGGGACACCGGTGACAGCAACAGGCTGGCGGTTGATAAATGGCTGCCTGATTTGTTGTCTTGGAGCAATATACTCATCATCACTGTCATACTCTGGTGGTGAATTAGCTGACCTAACCACAAGGGCAAGCAAGAAAAGCAAAGCCTGCGAGTAGACAAGGCTATATTAAGTGTTTTTACAGGTGACATGTTTCTATTGACAAACATTATACAATAGTCTACAAGTATTTTCCCTGAGATATTTAACAATTCAAAATAGTTTGCAGACAAGTTTAATTTGTAGTTGTTTAGCGTTCATTTTTACAACTGAACAAATGAGAAGAGAAGAAATGATAAGAATTTCTGAGAGTTTGGTTGCTCTCACCTCGAAAACAACAGCTCCTAGAGCTACCCATCTTACGATCTTCCAGTTCTCTCTCAGAAAATTATATATTGTATCGAAGTTTCCGGTCCTGTCAGAAGGAATTTCCTAGAGAACATTTATACAAAATGGTTAGCTAAGTACCTGGACGTTTCTGTCTTCAAACCATGTACCAAGTTAGAAGTCAACAGGAAATAAACAAACACAGAGAAAATAACTCACATCTCTCCAGCTGTTGTCGAAGAATATGAACGCTGCGAATCCAAGCTCCGCCAAGATCAACAAGATCAGAAGCAGAGAGTACTATTCTCAATTAAGGAACTAAAAAGCTTAAGAATTTTAGTTTGCTAAAGGATCAAATCATAATAAGCCATGATACCAATGACCTGTGCATAACAGCAGTTTAAGGCATCACAACTTAGAAGCAAGAAGGTATTTATGTTAAACCGAAACGTTGGATAGGGAAAAAAAAAAGTTCAGTAATCAGGATACACAAGATAAGCAGCAGACGCTCCTTGAACAAGTACCAACACAGCCACAGCACGAGATAACAAACAGAGCAACGCCGATACCAATGAACAAGTATATGAACCTGCATGTTTACATGATAAAACACAACCCCACATTGTCAGATTCAGAAGTAAAACAAACCAAGAATTTGCTTAGGAACCAATCTAGACAGTAAGGACATACATACCAAGCTTTGGGAAGATTGTCAAACACATTCGAAGAAAGTGCTACCGCCATAAGCATGGGCCTCCCAAAGGAAACGTAACTTTGGTCGCCATTTACCGGATTGAAAGTAACAGAATTATCGGTCGCTCTCTTGTACTCAACGAATAAGTAGATACCATAACCAACCATACCAAGTCCAACAACAGCCAGCAGAAAGTTGAAAAACTTCAGCAAACACTCCAAAAAACCTCTACACGCCATTTTTTTTATACAATAACTTAACAGCTATACGGTTTCCTCGGTTTTTTCCCCCTTAATTCATTAGTCCAAAGAATTATCCTACAATACAAAAATCAAAAACTCAATTCAATGAAATTTCAGTCCACGCGAAAAAAAAGATCAATCAGAACTAACTCATAGTTGATTCTGTAACCTAGAAATGTTAATTTTCAAATCAAATTCAACGAATCTACTATCGTATATAGCTGAGAATGCGAGGTACACCAATCAATCTTCTCAAATCGACATAGAAACTGAAAATACTAACATCAAATCAAGCCTAAAACTCGTAATCCAAGACCGAAACACGATTCCAACGAAACGAAGCTCGTAATCAACGAACGAAGAATAGTTCAGATCGGGAGAGAGAAACGAATCGGTGAATCGAAATTACGCGATCGAATGAGAAGATGATTGAAACTTACGGAGAATGATGATTCTGATGATTTCTTCGATCGTTTCGCAAAGGACTCGATTGTTCTTTGTCGTCGAGAGGAGGTAGAAAGGAGAATAATCGAAGGATGGATACTTTCTGTTTGGATTATTCATTTTTTTTTTTTTTTTGTAATCGGGCTTTTTAGTGAAATGACAGCTGGCATTTTAAATTTTGAATATGGACAATCCAAGATATAGGGCCTTTCTGTGTCAGGAGCCCAACTACGTCTACGTGTCTTCGAGTATAAATGATAAAAAGTATTTCTCATATCATTTTCTGTCGGCAATAAAATTAATTTTGTGTGGAATGGAATAAAAAATAAAAAATTTGCTTGTTGTATGTAACTTCATATATATTATTTGGAAAATGATCGGTGAGAAAATGTTTATGTGTATCTCCATGATCATCTCAGCAAAACAACAAAAATTGAATGGCACGTAGTTGTTTATGACATGACAAAACAATTATATTATTGACGGAGAATGAAAAACAAAATTTAAAATTTCATTCTCAAATTTTTAGTTGGCTATTTTGATAACATGATTTATTTAAAACCGAAGATACATATATAATAATCTTTTAAATGAATATTTATAGGGGCTATTCGTTTGTATATATGT